TGTGGGGTGATTTCTCACTTTCCCTCTCTTTTTCTGCTCTTTCTGTCTTTTTTTCTCCAGGGGGCGCTGGCCCCCTCCAACAAAAAAAAAAAAAAAAAAAAAAAAAAAAAAAGCCATGTTGAAATCTGCCTCAGGCCTGGTCCTGCTGGGTCTTTCTGGGGCTGCTGTCTGCTCAACCAGGCCACCATGAGTGGCAGCAAATGGAAGGGAGGAATTCTGCCTCTCTTATCTCAGGCTGGGTAGAAAGGTATCTTCAGAAATTGCCCATCTCCTGCAGAGCTGCACCTTTTTCTGCAGACTAGGGCTGGGAAGGGATGGTCTCCCCTGGCTGGGTTGGGAGTAGGTGAGTTCAGAGCTTTCTTGGGTGCACCCAGAAGTGCCTAACCAACCCCATAAGTCATTAGAGCTGAACCAGGCAACCATTGTACTCAATGGGCTAGAACCCGGGGAACCAGCCTCACTAGGGGCCTTTTTGACATTAGAGTCCCAGATTTGTTAGTTTAGGGAGCTGAGGAGTCCTTGCCTCTTTTTTTTTTTTTTTCCTTTTATTTTGTAGTGGTTTTTGTTTGTTTGTTTGTTTGTTTTTTTACCATTGGGCATGTGCTCTCATGAGAGGGAGACAGAGACAGAGAGAGAAAGTGAGAAATCATCCCCAGGGGATGGCCACACCTCAATCCTTTCTCCTCCATTCTCCCCTCAGGATTCTGGGCATGCACACACACATGCCTCGCATGATCCTTAAGTTGCTGGGTATGGGACTTGAACCACAGTTGGCCATGTAGAAATCCAGTGCCTCAACCTGCTGGCCCCAAGGGACCCTTGATTTTTTTTAAAGAATTATTTGTTTAATTTTATTTATTATTATTTTTTAATTGGCCAGAGAGGGGAGAGAGAGAGAGAAAGCAAGCTGCCAGGTCCTAGATGCAAACTGCAGTCAGCCATGTGGGATTCCAGCACCTTACCCACTACACCACCTGCTGGTCCTGAGACCTTTTATTTATTTATTTATTTATTTTAAGAATTATTTTATTGGGAACCAGCAGTTAGCATAATGGCTATGTCACTGGACTCCCACGTAGTCGACCGCGGTTCGTGTCCCGGACCCGGTGGCTTAAAACTCACGCCGGGCGCGTGTGCGTGTGTGCCCAAGATCCCGAGAGGAGAATGGAGGAGAAGGGATTGCGGCGTGACCATCCCCCC